GCACTTGACTGCTAACCAGAAGGCTGGCGGTTCAAACCCACCAGCCACTCCTCGGAAGGAACATGGGGCAATCTACTTCCATAGTGATACTGCCTTGGAAACCCAAGGAGGGGTCGCCATGAGTCGGGTCTGACTCAACGGCAAATAACAACAACAACAACAACAACATCACTACGAAAGTAGATTGCCCAACCTTCCTTCTGAGGAGTGGCTGAGAGGTTTGAACCTCCAGCCTTCTGGTTAGCAGTAAAGTGCCATAGGTATTACGTTACCAGAGCTCCTATGACCAAAGTAGGTGAGATGAATTCTGGCCATTCTCACTTCCAAGAAGCATTCTGGTTCCACTTCTTCCATGACAGATTTGTTAGTTCTTTTGTCAGTCTATGGTACTTGCAATATTCTTCACCAACACTACAAATCAAAAGCATCAACTCTTTCTTCTTCAGTCTTCCTTACTCAATGTCCAGCTCTCACATGCATATGAGATGATTGAAAATACCATGGCTTGGGTTAGGTGCACCTTAATCTTCAAAGAGACATCTTGGATCTTCAGTACGTTAAAGAAGTCTTTTACAGTAGATTTGCCCAGTGCAGTACATCTGATTTCTTGACTGCTGTTTCCATTGGTGTGCATTGTGGAACCAAGTAATATGAAATCTTTGATAACATGAATCTTTTCTCCATTTAACATGATGCTGCTTATTGGTCCAGTTGTGAGGATTTTCTTTATGTTGAATACAATCCATACTGCAAATTGTAGTCTTTAATCTTTATCAATAAGTGCTTCAAGTCACCTACACTTTCAGCAAGCAAATATGCATATTGCAGGTTGTTAATGAGCCTTCCTCCAAACCTGATGCCATGCTCTTCTTCATATAGTCCATTGTCTCAGATTATTTGCTCAGCATACAGAGTAAATAAGTATGATGAAACTTGCTCTTGAATGGAAAGTAACTAAAGCAAATGGAAGAAATGACCAGATGAAAGGTCTGAACAGAAGTTTTCAAAGAGCAGATCGAGAAGACACAGTCAATTATTATAATGGCATGCAAATAGCTAGAGTTAGAAAGCCAAAAGTGATGAACACTCTCAGCATTTCTCAAACTGAAAGAACTGAAGAACAAATCCAAGCCTTGAGTTGCAATATTGAAAGATTCTGTGGGCAAAATATTGAATGATATAGGAAACCTCCAAGAAAGATGGAAGGAATACACAGTCATTGCACAAAAAAGAATTGGCCAATGTTCATTCATTTCAGGAGGTGGCATGTGATCAAGAACCAATGGTAGTGAAAGAAGAAGTTGAAACTACACCAAAGGAACTGGCAAAAATAATAAGGTTTCAGTAATTGAGGGAATACCCATTGAAATGTTTCAACAAACACATGCTGCACTGGAGGCACTCATTTGGCCGTGCCAGGAGATTTGGAAGAGAGCTACCTGGCCAACTGACTGGAAGAGATCCATATTATACCCATTCCAAAGAAAAGTGATCCCACAGAATGTGGAAATTATCAAACAATATTATTACTATCACATGCAAGTAAAATCTTGCTTAAGATAATTCAGAAACAGTTGCAGAAGTACATTGACAGAAAACTCCCATGCAAGCTGGATTCAGATGAATACATGTAATGAGGTATGTCATTGCTGGTGTCACATGGATCTAGGCTAAAAGCAAATAATACAAAAATATATATATATTTACTTGTGTTTTATTGACTATGCAGAAGCATTTGATTTTGTGGATCATAACAAATTATGGATAATATTGAGAAGAATGGGAATTCCAGAACACTTAATTGTCCTCATGAGGAATAAGTCATTGGTCATGCAAAATTCTGTTGTGTCCTCTCCAATGTCATTTCCCCCAAGACCATATTTTCCAACTATTCATGCTTCTTTGCAGAATCCCTGGTGGTGTAGTGCCTAATTTTTGCATTCCACTCACCAGTAATTATCAATACATCTTGATTGCATAATTGGTCAATTTCAGACAGCAGATGGTGGTAAAATTTTTCAAATGCATCATCTTTGGTTTTGGTGTTTGATGCATAAATTTGAATAATAGTCATGTTAACTGGTCATCCTTACAGGCATTTTTTTATATTATCGTATCACTGATAGTAGTGCACTCCACAATAGACTTTGTATTGTAATTTTCTTTCTGATGATGAATGAATGCAGTGTCATTCCTCTTTACTTTGCCATTTCCAGCATAATAGACCCTAAAAAAAAAAAAAAAAAAAAAAAACTATTGCCATTGAGTTGGAGCCAACTCATAGTGACCCCTCCTTGGGTTTCCAAGGCAGTATCACCATGGAAGTAGATTGCCCAACCTTCCTTCTGAGGAGTGGCTGGTGAGTTTGAACCACCAGCCTTCTGGTTAGCAGTCAAATGCCTTAGGCACTACACCACCAGAGCTCCTATAATAGACCTCATGAATGTCCAATTCAAAAGAGTCAATACCAGTGCCTTCCAGTTTAGTAATGCCTAGAATATTGATCTTTAGGCTTTCTATTTCAATTTTTATGTCTTGTAGTTTTCCTAGATTCATATTCCATACATTTTATTTTCTAATTATTAATGGATGTTTCCAGCACTTTCTTCTAATTTTGAATTGTGACACATTAGTAAATGAAGGTCCTGAAAACTTAAGTCCATCCACGTCATTAAGGTCAACTCTACTTTGTGGAGCCAGACCTTCCCTATCATGTTTTGTGTGCCTACCATTCTGAAAGGCTTGTCTTCAGACGGTGTTTCCATGGGGAGCTCTGGTAAGCATTCTGGTGTAGTGCCTAAGGTATTTGACTGCTAATCAGAAGGCTGGTGGTTCAAACCCACCAGCCACTCCTCGGAAGGAAGATTGGGCCATCTACTTCAGTAGTGATACCACCTTGGAAACCCAAGGAGGAGTCGCCAGGAGTTAGATCTGACTACAGGGCAGTGCATGCATTTCCATGCTATTCATAAGATTTTCAGTGGCCAATATTTTTTTCATATATGAACTTGGCTCCATCCTTCTTCCTATTCTATCTTAGTCTGCAAGCTCCTCTGAAACCTATCCACCATGGGTAACCCTGCTTTTATTCAATATACTCGTGGCATGGCTTCCAGCATTACAACAAATGCAAGCCACTACTGACCCACACACTGACAGACAAGTGGTATGAAATACACTCCTTATTTATCCCTATTGTAATTCAAGTCCCTTTTCCAACCTTTCCCAACTTCCCTTTCTGATTCAATTCCCTTTTCCCTCTCCTTTTTCTGAAAACTTTTGTCCTTTTATTTAGACTTGTTTAGGCTACTTTATATTGTCTTGGAGCCCTAATGGTTCACTTGACTGCTAACCCAAAGTTGGTGGTTTGAAGCCACACAGTGGCTCCATGGGAGAAGGACCTGATGATTAGCTTCTATAAAGATTCCAAACCAAACTCACTGCCATCCAGTCAATTCCAACTCATAGCAACCCCCATTGGGGGTCTGAGACAGTAAATATTTACAGAAATAGATTGGCCATCTTTCTTTCATGGAGTCGCTGGTGGTTTTGAACCACCAACTTTCCATTTACCAGTCAAATGCCTTAGGCACTACACCACCAGATTACAGCCAAGAAAACCTTATGAAGCAGTTCTACTCTATCACATGGTTTAGCTATGAGTTGAAAATCAATTCGATGGCCCCCAACAACCACCAATCTTATATTTCCAATTCCCAATTTTCATGAATGTTCATGGTTATAAATTCCCTATGGGAAGCTATGCCTTTATATATTTACTTGTATTTCTATTACCCTAGCACACTGTCTGATTCCTAATAATAATAAAAATGTACTAAAGGGAGATCCATAAATTGCCAGTGATCTGATTGCATGGAGCCGCTTTCCAAAATATTGTCTTACAGTTTCTGTTTGTCTAACCTCGGTTGTAATATACTATTGAACATTATAATGTGAAAATGAACCCAAACTTATAAATTTCTAAAAATATATATATAATTAGTGGGTACAGATTTTCAAATCACAGCTAAAAGTATGGGGGATATCACACACAATTTAAAAAAAAAAAATTCAAATATGAAGGTTTTGAGTGGCCTTGGACCCATGAAGCTGGAGAATAAAAGATGTGGAAGCAAAAGTAAGAATTGGAGCAAAGACAAGGAAGTGAGAAAAAAAAATACAAGAAAAAAATAACAAATTCCTGTTAGCTAGAATGGAAGAGCATATCTAAAAATAAGCTTGGAACTCCAATGACACCTTGTTATTCCTTAGCCTTCAGCTGAACCCAATAGGAATTATTAAAGATTTTTAAGCAGTGAATAGATCAGAGAGAATATAAGATTCGCTTAAATGTAAGACGAAAGGCATTTCCTAGAGTAATGAGTTTATTACAAAATGAATAGTGTAGTAAGTCCCCAAATCAGGTAGAAGTGATAAGAACAGATAGAAGAAAAAAAAAATGCAAGAGATATTTTGAAAAGATTGGTACTGGACTAAGGGATGAGGATGACAGCAACCTGCCTTTTTTTTAAAAAAAAACATATTAGGATTTGAAAAAAAACTTAGCATTATTGCAATATATATTTTTTCCTGTATGTTAAGAAGAAATGCACGTAATCATAATCCTTTGAATTTCAATTTGTTCAATTTTAAGTAACCTCATGTTCCAAGGCACCAAATTAGTTCTCTTATGTTTAACATTGTAAAAATGAATCAACTATTCTTTTGTTTTTCTGACTTTTTAAAAGCCCTTGGTAACAGCTTTAGAGACAATACTTTTTTATCTAATAATTTTAAGATTATGTTATAATGTATCTCTTTATTCAGAAACCCGGCTGGGACCCAGAACAATAGTACAAGATGGCCAGTCTTCAAAAGCACTGAACAAAAATATTTATCCTTGAATACTGAGTCTTCAAGAATATACACTAAACTACGAGCTCAACAATGCCGATTCTGGACACAATTTTTTCCTAAAGTCTTGGAAATGACAGGTGTGTGTTTTCTTATTTTGATTAATTGTTGAGGAGCTATATAAAATGAGGGAAAGGTAAACAATCCAGTCTTTGGTGATGGTATTAATTACTATATGTATCCTCAAGTTTACAGTTACTTGATTCCAATGAGTACATTATTTTTAAAAACTTTTTTAAAGAAACTTTAGATATGTTTTGAGGACCTTTGTATATGACCTTCACCTCAAGATCAGCTAATAAAAGACAAAAGTCTTCTTAGATTTGTCAAGATTAATTTCTGTAGAAAATAGCTTATCATACTAACTTTTCAAGACCAGAATAGGTCTATAAAAGTAAGCCTCAAGATTCTCATATGATGGCAATATTGGATCTTTCAGTCTCCACAGGGTTGGAATAGGGACTATGCTGGTGTCTGTTCGTGAGACTCTACTCATAGAAATAATTGTTGGCCTCTTGTCTACATAGATTCTGAAACTCCTTGGAAATCTTCTCAGAATTATTCTTTTCTTTTCAGTATCTATAAATTTAGAGTGGTTGAAATCTGTAAGAGTTATCTACTGAGGGCCAAAACTGTTGGGACATAGTTGGGAACAATTCTTAAACTCTAATTAACTAGGTGTTATACAGTTTTCTGAATTTATTGCTCTGGTACTGTAAAACTTGACTGCTAACCAGAAGGCTGGCAGTTCATACCCACCACCCGCTCCTCAGAAGTAAGGTTGGGCAATCTATTTCTGTAGTGATACCTCCTCTGAAACTCAAGGAGGGGTCGCTATCATTCAGGTCCAACTCCACAGCACATAGCAACTGTAAACTTGGACCTTGTGGTATATCTGTCTGTAAGTAAATGTTTCTCCCGTTCTATATGCTGTAGCGGCTGGCACAGGACTGGGTAGTGTTTCATTCTGCTGTGCACAGGGTCACTATGAGTCGGAGAAGACTCAATGGCACCTAACAACAACAACAACAACATATATTGTAGACAGTTGTGCCATGGAACATAATTTTTAAAATGTCTTATATAAAAATTAACTTAATTTTCATGTGCCTCTTCATTGTAAATAAGCCTGTCCTCCTAACTGAGTTTTTTTTGTGTGTATATGTTCTACTGATTAACTATTTTATAGTTTAATTCTGTATAATTTTCCACTTTGTTTTGTATAAATGAAGAATTTTTTTTAAAAAAAGTAGCAAGAATATAAAACAAATAAACAAAACTAAAATATAAATTGTCCTCTGGAGGAGAGTAAAATTTAATAAGGAGAACTAATACACAGTCAGGAGCTCTGGTAGCATAGTGCCTAAGGCACTTGACTGCTAACCAGAAGGCTGGTGGTTCAAACCCACCAGCCACTCCTCAGAAGGAAGGTTGGGCATTCCTACTTCCGTAGTGATACTGCCTCGGAAACCCAAGGAGGGGTCGCTATGAGTCGGGCCGACTCGATGGCAAATAACAACAACAACAATAATACACAGTCACCACCTGTCTGTCAGTGGAGTTTTGTGTGTTGCTATGATGATTTCAAGGACTATTCCAGACAAGGATGGACTAGGAAGAAAAGCCTGGTGAACTGCTTCTGAAAATCTGCTAATGAAAATCCCGTGGATTACAATAGTCTGATCCCAACAGATAATGTGGATGGAGGAGAACATTTAATTCCAACGTACATGAGGTCACCAGTCAGGGACCAACACAACAGCAGTTAAGAACAACAGATATTCAGCCAAATTTTGTGGAATTAATTAATGGATAAATAAATGAATCAACATATAAAATAAACATAATATGTGCAGTTAAAATATAAGTTCTCAGAAACATTACTAAATAGGAGCAACCTTGATTTTTTAGGAAAATACTCCTAAATTTACATATATTTTAAAATTCAGATATTTCTAAATATTCTGAACTTTGAAATATTTATCTAAGAACACTTATTTCTATTACATAATATAGTATTCAGATAATAGTTAACTAATCTCTCAGGAAGTGATTACTTAGAAATCTATATGGAAGTGCTAAGAAATGTGGTATAGACATTCAGATTATTTCATAATCTATGAGTAAGAATCTATTTCCATCTACTTGAGGAATTAAATATATATCATCTTACTTTGATCTATTCTGAGAAAATTGGCATAAATCATTGCTTGATTCTAAAATGCTCAGCAGTTTACAATTCAAGTAATTATACAACTCTATTTTCTAATTTTACTTTTCAAATTAATCAACTTTCAACCTTCAGACATATTGCTGGTCAATTCCTTTAGGCATTTATTTAACATACACTGTAATTTTCAGACTATGTATTAGGTATCACAATAAAGTGTATGTATTTAGTGTCTTATTGAGAGAGTTCAGGGGGTTAGTTTCAGACATATATGTGCATTTTAGTGTTGAATTTAATTGTTTGATATACCTTTTGATTATCACACATTACTCACCAAAATTATAGTAATGTGCTCCATCTATTTGAGGGAGATTTCTGATACACCAGTGTTCTGTGTATTAGCAAATGTTCTGTGACATAAGATGCATCCAGAGATGGGCTTCTGTCTCCTTGGCAGAGCAACAGTGCTGCCTTGTGTCCTCTGGGTGTGAATAACAATGAGGTAACACACTTTATCTGCCAAGAACCCTGAAGAGATATCATTTACTTCACCATGGACTGAATAGAAGCTCTGATATCATAGTGCCTAAAGCACTTGACTGCTAACAACCAGAAGGCTGGCGGTTCAAACCCACCAGCCACTCCTCAGGGAGCTCTGGTAGCATAGTGCCTAAGGCACTTGACTGCTAACCAGAAGGCTGGCGGTTCAAACCCACCAGCCACTCCTCGGAAGGAAGGTT